TCCTCCTCCTCCTCCTCCTCCTCCTCCTCCTCTTCTTCCTCTTCTTCTTCTTTTTTGGTTGTTCTTGGAGCTTGAATTCAGGGCCTGGGCACTGTCCCTGAACTCTTTTGCTCAAGGCTAGTGCTCTGTCTCTTTGAGCCATAGAGCCACTTCTGGCTTTTGAATAGTTAACTGGAGATAAAGGTCTCACAGTGACTTTTCTGCCTAGTCTGGCTTTGAACTGTGATCCTGAGCTCTCATCCTCCTGAATAGCTAGGATTACAGGTATGAGCCCCAGGCATGAGACTTGAACTCAGAGCCTGAACCTCTTTGTGCTCAAGGCTAGTGCTCTACCACTTGAGTCACAGCGCCACTTCTGACTTTTTCTGAGTAGTTTATTGGACATAAGAGTCTCACAGACTTTCCTGCCTGGATTGACTTTGAGCCACAATCTTCAGATCTCAGCCTTTTAAGGAGCTAGGATTACAGGTGTGAGCCTCTAGTGCCTGGCCAGAGTGTTTTTTGATAAAGAGATAATTAATAGTGATGATGATAAGAATAGACCTTTATATGTGGCCACTTACACTACCATTTTAGTTATTACCACAGGAGTGTAATAATTGTAATCAGAACCATAGTATACCTTTGTCTAGCTTTATAATAGGGAAGATTATAGAAATTTAACATAATAAAGCTACTATTGAAAAGAATATCTAGCTGGGCACTGGAGGCTCACACCTGTTATCTAGCTACTGAGGAAGCTGAGCTCTGAGGATCATGGTTCGAAGCTATTCTGGGCAGGAAAATCTATGAGACTCTTTTTTTTTTTTTTTGTCTGGTGTGGGGTTTGAACTTTGAACTCTAGGCCTCAGCTTTTCAGCTCAAGGTTAGCACTCTACCACTTGAGCCACAGTTCCACTTCTGGTTTTCTGGTGGCTTATTGGAGATAAGAGTCTCACAGACTTTCCTGTCCCCAGTTGGCTTTGAATCATGATCCTCAGATCTCAGCTCCTGAGTATCTAGGATTACAGGTGTGAGCCACCAGGCACCCAGCATTGTGAGACTCTTATCTCCAATAAACTACTCAGA